GGGAGGGAAAGCGGTGGGGGGGGGGCGTGGGGAACCACTATGCGGAGCATGATTTGCATACTGCATATACTTCTCCGATGCTTGGAATTTTCTAGTATTATTTATTTCTCTGTTTGAGGGGTCTGCGACGGTTGAGGTAAAATCAAGGGTTAAAAGTTTGGTGCCCTCTTTCATGATGTGACCCATGCCAAGTTCTTCAATTGCATGCGTGGATACAACCGCTTCCATTTCCCAATACAAAGTGATCGTTTCAAAGCGGAACAGTTGCAGAGTTGCCAAACATGTCTTTATCAGGTACGTTTATTATTGACATAGATCCCGTGGGGTTTACCGGTAAATGGGAAATCGTACAGTACTTTCTAATATCATATCCTGATATCGCAGATGGGCATACAAGCAGTAACCCTAACCCAGAACATTGAAAATAATAATAAATCACTACGATACCATACCGTATTTACTCGTATAATCCACTATCTCCATATGCAAGGCTATCTCCGCCAATCCCTGCCTGTGCCCACGATGGGTTTAGTTTGGTAGGTTAACAAAATTGCGAATACCAGTTAATAAGATCCAACACAGTCAGCGCCCTCAGGCTTTGCCGTGTAAGGAAAACACTAATCCTTCTTAGGGGTCTTTGTCTGTGCACACGGAGATTGGACATCTGGCGGAGATAGTGGATTATACAAGTAAATACGGTACTCGTAGATATACTCACCTCGCGCCCCTCCTTCCAAACTATGATATCATACCACGGCTAAATACCATCTCCCAACCCACAACCACAACAAAAAACGTAAGTACTTTAACGTGATAACACGTTAAATAGTGCCACCCCGGCCGCCAGTAGTGCTATATCATGTCGACACCGAACACCCCAACCCACAGAACCGGCAGAGATTCCCATCACCACGACCGAAAACCCTGCTGCCACAAGGGACCCTCCACCTCCCAAACTTCCTATACCCCTCCGTAACCATAGGAGGTGGCTCCTCATTGACCACTTAATCTGGCGAGGAACCTCCATCACCCGAGCCCCCCACCAAGGCTGCTGGGTCTAATGAATCCACTTTATCCAGCGCTTGACTACCTTCCCCCACGCCCTCCGCCCCGCCACAATAGGACCGGAGTGACCATAAACACGTACGTCACAGGGAGGCCAGCCGGGGGCGCGGGGAAAGACGAAGCGACCAGAGGAGAAACAAAGCCTGGGCAGGCAGTATCTCGGCAAGATTACGGGCGGTGGGCGGGACAGCCGGAGGCGAAACGGCATCGCGGCGCTGTGGGGGCTCGATCCAGGCCTCAGCTAAAGACGAAGTGTGGGAGACACAATACCGGTAGCGCCGCAGGGAGGCGGCACTGCAATCCCCTCGACGAATATGTGTGAAGGAAAACAGAGTCCTTGGAAGGCGATGACTCAACAAACAACAGTGGGTGGGGCAACAACCTCGGCAACTGGAGGTGTGACAACCGCCACAATACTCTCCGCCACAGATAGAGTGAGCCAACTAAAGTCAGTCAAACTCTATGATAATAGAAGATTTAAGTCAAGCATCCTTATTCAATCCAATTTCCAACTATGAACAATTTCGCACTTTTACTAAACACAATTACTCAAAAACCAGTTAGACAGAGTTATTGGTGCTATTTCGTTCAGTTGGAGTCCCCACTAAGCTTACTGTCGGCATCACCGCCTACCTCTCTGTCTCAATCTCATTTGGCCACCCCGGAAGATTGTGGTAGTACAGCACCATATATAATTATACTCTGATCTAGTATCAATGAAGCGAGATTGAGTCTTTTAGAAAAGTTTGTTTTTTCGCTCTCTCACTTGTATCCTCAAAAGCTCTTTACAAAATCCTATTTGTTACTTCACTAGCATATATACATATAGAGTTATCGAGTATGATCGCGCATACACCGTCACGACCGAGCAGTCACCGCTCCACCGAATTGGTTAGATTACGGGGGTTCATGTTTGAGCCTCACCTGGTAGTGTCCGTCGCAATGCAGTTTCTTATAAACAGCTATGACTCGGGAGCAGGAAAACCGCGAACACCGGCACTGCGATCGTGATCACATACTATCACTCGGACGAAACGAAACGCCAAGGCGACTCGGCACGATCAAAAGAGGGGTAACAAAATTTTCTTCACTTCCTTTCTCTCTCTTGAAGACACACACTCTCTCAACTCGCTTGCTCAACTCAACTAACTAACACATGTGGGGGACGGGGGTATAAATAAACGATCATCAAGCCTTCTCCCATCGTTCCACCGAACTCCACAGATGTCTTTCCTGATCCTCGCCTGACCCCCTTAGTTTTCCATTCCTCAGCTTGTCCTCATCGCTAACAAAAAGAACAGAAGAACAGGCACTATAAAGAACTCTCCCCCTACCATACTACTTCAGTCGCGGACATCACTTCCGCCGCCGACACCACCCCCACCGTCGTACTACCTCTGCGTTTACAAATGAAATTCAGGCCCAGCAAAGACAATCCCATTTCCTTCTGCGCTCCCTCTGCCGTGCTGCCGTGCCGCTCTGGGACATGATGCGGCAGGCCGGTGTGCAAGTGGGCGAATAACAAGGGACCGGCGATAGGGTTAGTCGGTGGTTCAGGCAAGCGGACTAAGTGCTGGGTAGGTTAATGGATAGTTGGGAAGACAAACTGACAAGGGAGCAATCAGACGGGCGCACAACCAAACGGTCAGACAGACAGATAATCGGGTGGGCGGACGGGTAAGCATGAAGGTGTGGAATATCAGATATGTTGCATCTCCGGCTATCGCGCATCTTCTGGACATGTCACGCATGTTCTAAACATGTCAGGCAGGTTCGGAGTATGCTGGGTAAGTTGTGAGCATGTCCAGCAGCATTTCCAACAGCTCCGGTTTAGTAATTTATCTTGATAAGAGAGGCGACAGGGCTACATGTTCTTCGCCACTTCCCTCCTTTCCTTTCATTTTTGAATTGAGTGGTTCGCGGTTGAGTTATGAATCCGATTTTCAGATACATTTTTTTGCGCACTAGTGTGACTAGAAACCCTTCTTCGATTCTCCACCCTCACCGGCCATTCCGCCAAATTGCGTGAGTTGCACTAAATGTTGGCGGCTAAGTTGGTATTGTAATTGAATCTAATCCACATTAGACGAGTAGAAGTGTTTGGCTCAATCAAGCGGCTTTTCCTATTGTGCTAGGGTGTGCGGGGTGATATAGCGGGGGTTATAACCACGAGGGAGTCGAGTCAATCGAGAGCGGCGGTGGGTTTCCGAAGTAATGTGTTCAGTGCCAGGGGCCTAGCTGCTAGTAGCGCTCGGTGTGAGGAGGTAAACTCTATTGCCGGGAAGTCTAATCTATATTCGGTATTAATCGGTCTTTGTGATTCGCATAAAATTCAAAGGCTCTCAATGTGCTGGGTCGCTTGGGTATCGGAGGAGCCTCCTTTGCTGGCAGAAGCGAGAACGAAATGGAACCAAGGTCGGTGATATATGAAAGGCACTGGAAAATAAAAGCAGAGGGAGAACAAATGAGAGAAAATCGCGAGAAAGGAAGTACCATAGTTTCAAAGGGTAGACTGCTCGAGTATTGTCGCGGCGTTGCGGGAGGGACCAGCATTTTAATCGGCGATGATTAGTAATGCAGCCGAAATACTTGTGCCACTCTGGTCGCGAACGCAAGACTTTTGGGAAAGTGGGGAAGTCCGCTCGTTTTTATTCAACTCTCTAACACTAACTAAACGGTAAAGAGGGGGGTATATATGAATCGCTACAAGGCATTCTCCTATCCCCCGATCCTCACACATATGCATTTTCCACCCCGTATTATCTCCTTTGGGCATCGATGCACCTAGTTGCTTTCTCCCAAGCTAACAGAGGAAGGACCTGTTGGAAATCATGGATGCTGGTCGGCATGCTCATGACTTTGTTCTCTTGTCCGCCGGCATACCACTCCGTCGGCATCTCTACCTGTCCGTATATTGCCCGTCTGCATGTTCAATGTACGTTCCCTGAGCCGGCCGTTTGTTCGTTCCCGCCCGTTGGGGCGGAGGCTCTCGTGGTGCACTTTTGAAAAGCGCTTCCGACGGAAAATGATGTGAACGGCAAGGGAGCTATAGACCGTCGGGAGTCTTTGTTCCTGTACTATGTTCCATTCGTTACTACGGGAGCGTGGAAAGCAGTGGGAGCTCAGGAGTCAATGGGAGCACGGAAGGCAACTTGGAGAGTCTTTGAAGAGTCTATTGTTTGTTCTTTCTTTCGTTAGCACGATTGATAGCATGGGAGCGCACCGAGGAAATGTCTTGTGACGGAGGAGTATAACAGTCAATGACTGACTTGCGCAGCGGTGGGAAAAACACTAAAGGACAATGTGGGGGCTGTGGTAGGACGTGCACAAAAAATGTATGATAAGGCAAAAACTGCTTCGCTCTCTCTTCTCTAAACTAACAGTAAAGACAGGTGTATAAGTAAAACATAAACAACGTATCCCCATCATTCCATGAATCACCACACCTATCTGTATCTCTCCAAGCATGCTACCCTTTCCTCCATACACTCCCATGATAACAAAGGAAAGATATGTCCGGAGAATCTCCTGTCAATCTCTCAACCATCATACTGATCTATCGAATATCGGAACTCTTCGCCAGACTCCTGAAACTTCCACATCTATCTCAATCGACCAACGTCAATCTAGAAGCTTCAACAAAATGGAGATGAGTGTGGGAGGTGTTAGAGATGCCGGTATGCGGTGATCACGGGAAGGATAGGATAGGTGATCTTTGCCGTTTATTTATACTCCTGTCTTTTCCTGTCAGTTAGTTTAGTCAGAGCCGTAGAGTCGTGGAGTAGTGGAGTCGTAGAGCGGGAGATAGATAGTCGTTGAATAGAGCGAGTTGCGGGGCGATCTTGGTGAACTTCCCCGCTTTTGGTTGGGCAGAGTTTTCACAGCGCATTTATAATAGTCATCGCCGTTTCGTCGTTTCATCGTCGTTCAGTATCGTCCTGGCTCCGGTTAGCCCTTTGGTTTCTAAAAGGGCACCTCCACCTCCCAAACCCCCTACGCCCCTCAGTAACCACAGGAGGTGGCTCCCCCCATCAACCACTGAACTTGGCGAGAAACCCCACCACCCGAGCGCCCCATCAAGGCCGCTGTTTCTGACGAATCCACTTTGTCCAGCGCTTGGCTCTCTCCCCCGCGCCCCCCGCCCCACCACATACGACCGGAGGGACCAACAACACGTACGTCGAAGGGAGGTCAGTCGGGGCCTCAAGGAAGGGTCTTGGGGGGCGGGCGGGATTAACTCTTTTAGGAAGTTAGCTGACACTCTTTGCATACTCGAAAACTCTTTACAAAATCCTATTTGTTACCTCATAGACATAAAAACAGAAAGGGTGATCGGGCGTGTTCGCACAACGTACGAGCGTGATCGAGTGCGGTGGTGCTCAAGCAGACCGGGCGGATTACAATGGTCCTATTGGAGCCTGATATGACCGCGTCCGTCACCAACGACAGTTCAATTTCACTACTGCCCTTCGCAGAGTGGATTCTCTCATGCGGCCCCGCCAATCCGGGATTTTTTCGCGCTTGACAAATGCCCGGAGGTGTCACGAGAAATTCTGATGCGATTGGATGTCTGCTACCCCCCCCCCCCCACTTTGTCCTGTCCAAATAGATTGCCTCTGTCGGGAATTTTCACAGATAATCAGTGAAATGCAGGAGATGGATACGGAGAGGCGATCTGCCATCATTGCCAACTGGGAAATGTTGTGGGTCCATTGGGATATCTGAGGAATGGGGTTTTGAGATAGTCCCGCCCCGATTTCTAGGTTGGTAGGGGACTCGTTCCTGAATTTGAAGCTGTCTTTTCTCGCTTGGCTTGATTTGGTATTTCTATTGATATTGGGGCACATGAGATAGTATACTTGCAAGCTACTTGCGGTCATTACTTCTGTATGGGAGCGGTGTTTTTTTATTGTCACATCGCTATTGTTCAACGACAATCTCCAAACACACAATCCTCCACTTTTAGCTACGACGGTAGTGGAAAGGCAAAAAAGCAGATTTCCAAAAGTCTTTACACCGTGAAACCACTTTTGGAAAGGGAAACATCTACCTCTGCCCCGCACTTGTGCCCACGCGACAGCTCCGGAACCTTATCACTTGTAACATGAGTAAATCAAAATCCCGGCTTCCAGTCGCCAACCGCCCACAACCTGAAATGAGGGACTTGAGGAACGAATAGCATCCCACACGATCCCTTCAAATGGACAATATAAATATACCGCTGTAGCTTAGGATGATACAAACAGCAACCGTTCCAACAAAACATGCTTCCAAGAAGAAGAAAAAAGTAACCTTTTCACCACAGTTTTAGTGGTGAACATGATAGGGATCGCTTGGTCAGATCGTGCTCGGAAGGCTCCTGACCTGATTGATCAAGTTTGAGTATGGGCAATCATGATCGATCACTCGACCTACATATTCCTGCCTTGATGTTGAAATGTCCTCCCATATCTGAAATGGGTGGCTACAGGTAGACTGAGTGGTACGTCAACCCGTATTGTGGTGAACGATATCTGGCACGGAGGGCCGCGTAAGCCTGGGAAATTAGTGGCTGGTTCCTTCGTGTATAGATAGTCGAGCACCCCCTGTTTCCTTCTAAAATATACAACCTCGGTCGTTTCAACATTTGGTATGCATGTTAATCACCATGATATTAACTTAAAAACTGTCAGTCTCCTCATGCTCGATAACCCGTTTCCGACGGGACGCTCTTACTATTAA